CAAGCTTTTGGACATGCTGGCAGCTAAAGGAAGATCTGACGACAAACATGGACGAATGGAATGGAATGGATACACGGAACTCTGAACACTGAGCATGAAATTGTTTTGCTATTTTATTATGTACTAATGTTTTTAACTTGTTAACTGTCTAAATTGTTGTAGGTATTATTTGTTTATTGATTCAGGCATCGAATTGTGCCGTTGTTTGTAAGCCGCCCTGAGTCCCCCCTCGGGGGTGAGAAGGGCGGGGTATAAGTAATTGAAATAAATAAATAAATAAATAAATTTCCCAGGAAAGATGGGGATTGAGATGGATGCTGAAGTACTGCATTAGAGAATGCACAAAGTTATGCAATCTGGAGGAAAGGAGTTACAAAAAGCCCTTGGGCATTATTTCAAAGGGAATTTTCACTTTGCAGATCTTTCCCATGTCTTTTTAAAGGGATGAATGACTCTTCCAGGTTTTCGTTTTCTGCTTCTGAAAACTTATGGCTAGTCACCATGGAAGACACCTGACTGTTTTTGCAATATTCTTTTACCTTAAAAAAGCCTTTGTAGTCTCCACTTTCAGCATTAAATGGGAAGGTATTTTCTCATCCTAAAGCATTAGAGACTGATTTTTGCCCTATGAAGAAAACAATACGGGTAAGGTGCCTATGTGCCTTCAAGTTGCTTGTTGACTTATGGTGTTTTCTAGGCACAGAATATTCAGGGGTGCTTTTGCCAATTCCTTCTTCTGGAATATAATCTATAGCAGCTGGTTATGCTTGGTGGTCCCCATCCCAGTAGTAACAAAGGCCAATGGTCTTACTTCCAAGATGAGATGGGGCCTAAGGCATTTAGATAGTATTCAGGTACAGTATCATACAGTATTGCAAATTTATCTACCCTGACCTTACAGAAAGGCTAGTAGATTTTTTTAATTTCATATCGTTTGCTGTATTTTTATGTTTTATGTAATTTATTATGTTATTATTTATGTTTTTGACTTCTTCTACTGTATTGTAGGGCGTGGTCTCCTTGAGTCCCCATTGGGGAGATGGTGGCAGGGTATAAATAAAGATGATGACGACGATGATTATTATTATTAGAAACTTGGTGGAGAGGCGAATTAGATCATGGGAAAAGATCTAAAAATAATGTACGTGCATGTGTGTGTATATTTACTCTCTCTCTCTCTCTGATATATATATGTCTGATAAAGATAACTTCTGAGGATTCTTCATCCACAAGCTGTCCAATTAGTGCAAGCCCATGGATGCCTAATAGTACTAGTAGCTAATAGGATGACCGAGGAAACCTCCACATATTTCTCTCCCAGCACTGGAGAAGAAAAAGAAGGCATGCCACAGCTAAGATGTGGGTAGTTTAAGAAGGAAAATGCCTTAACTGTGCATGAGGGATGGGGTAGGAACCAACAGGCATACCCCAGTTACCAAAGCCTCTGACAATAAGCTACTTTTTACAAAGTCTTTTTATGCTCACTCAGCTTCTTCCCTTTTGTCCTCTTGTCTAGCTGGAAGATTGATTTTAACAGTATCAGCTAAAGGGGGATTGTCAAGGAGGCTGGAAAAGCACAGTCTCTCAGTGTTGGGTTGCAGTAGCAGGATGGCAGTAAACAAGGCAATATACTTTGAAATGGGAATGTGTGGAAGTCTACTCTAGGCAATCCTATTTTTCCTACATGTGCCTTCTTACAGCAGGCAAGGAAAAAGAAGCTGCCTCCAGAACTGCTTACAGAGCATGTGTCAATAGAAAAACAAAGAAAACGAGGGAATGCAATAAGCTACCAGCTACCTCCAGTATGCTGAAGAAATTTGGCCCCAAAGTGGAAATTATAAAGAAAGTGGAGGGTGGTGAAGGGGGAAAAAATCATCCTTGGATCCATTTTGGAAGAAGCTTACATGTGGCCTCCAGCAAATTCAATATGTTTTCCTTGCTTATGCAATGTGTACCTGGATGTTCCATTTCACATATGTATGTTGTTAGTTCTAAATAAAAATTTGATAAAATATGCTGAATTGCTCTCCTTTTTGTGATTTAAGTACCTATTTCTATTCTTTTTGGGTTATTTCTGCCTCTGGTATCAAATTGTGTTGAAGAAGTCTTCTATTTCAATAATTGAGTTATGTAGTAAGCCATTGGTATCTACTAGGTTTTGGTTCCCTCTCCTTTGAATCCATGACTCTTATAATGACATTATATGAATGGCTTAGTAACATGGTTCCCATTATACAAAATAGCACAATCAAGGTTAGCTTTTGGAAATTTAAAAATATTTTAAAGCTGTGAATGGTTGGATCTGTTAAGTGTAGAATCTGCGGCTATAGATGGATGGCTGTACCTGATTTGAAGACAATATTCCATTTATGGGATGGGGCAGGAGTTGGTGTTTCAAAGTGGTATAAGACAGCTCATGATGGCTGAAATGTTCTGTGAATATACAAAAGTGTCAGGGATCAAAGATGACAAGAAGGGAATTGCTGGCTGAGAGTACTGACAAAGGCGGGGCCAGGAAAATGGGGCAAATATGTAGACAATTAGCTAGTCATTTAGGATATATATTCATATTCAGAAGAGGAGTGAATTTTTGAGAAGTGGTGGGAAACAGTACAGAGAGAAAACAATGCACGAGGTGAGCCCAGTCCAGATTTCCCTAATCATGAGTAAAACAGACAGTACCTTTAGGCTGGATTCAGTGCATTTAGTATAGTGTGCAGTTTAGTCCTGCACTTCATTTTTTAAACATCAGAAACCACTTTTAGAAAGAAGAATTTAGATCAGAGAAGTGGCAGGGGAGGGAAGGGTGCGCAATCCATTTTCAACCTGTCCTTTCTCATTTATACTCCTCACTCTGTGATGGCCTGCCTCCCGCAAGGATCCAAAAAGAACCATTTTGGTCTCCGCTGGGGAGGAGTGGGATACTTATGAAGAGAAAAGGCACGAGGTAGAAAAGATTAAACTGGCGCCTCCTCTCCCACGATTCCCCTGCTCTAGAAACCTTTTATACAAAAGTAGCTTTACAGATTAAAAGGCTCACTTACATTTGTTCGTGTAGAGGGATAGCAATACTGCAGCTAAACAGATGGTTGTTGAACTGCAGCTCTCAATGGCCCTACCTAGCAGAGCCATGGTGAGAAGTTCAATCAAAGCTGGAAGGCTACATGAGTCCCATCTATAAATAGTCAGCAGGAAGGATCGCATATTCTATCAGATAAAAGTTTACCTATCTAAACTTTCTCTAAACACTGGATGTTTCACTGCACATCTTTTGACAGACCTTGTTCCAGATGTGTACATTATGCAGTCACATTCCACATGAAAGGAATACATTGGTTATGCTGTTTTGTACTGGAAAGGCATGGGAGAGCATACAGTTGCCCTTCCCTCACAAATCCTGTCACATTTTACAGCTCAAAATTGCTTTCCTTGGTTGAAGCTCCTTTATTTCTTTGCTATTCTTAGATTCAGTGAGGTGCAGCAGTCTTCATGGAGCCCATGGGTGGCAGTTTGCTTATTTGGATCAGAGTTCATCATCATTTCCCACACTAATCCATGTCTGGAAGTGTTGGGACTGAGATGGGGACAGGAATAAACTACAAAGTTGTATGTACGTACATGTTTTGAACCACGAATACCACTTTAAAAAGAAAATGTCATAGACACAATTTCACCTGCTAGCAATTCCTCTCTGATTAAATCTTTGTAGTGATACCTTCTTGTCAAATATCCCCTGAGATTCAGAAATCACTTGTTTTCAACTCAGTGATAATGTATATCCAAAGTTCTGCTGCTAGATGAGATGCCTAGCCATTAAACCAGCCCACAATATTTTACTCTCTGAGGTGAAAAAAATAAAATTATGTCCCTTCCCTTTCTACATACAAAAGCCATCTAGAATGATACAGTATTTGAATGTTGCTTCCACATGGTTAGTGGGCACTGTTCACCAAACCCTACTGGAGGACAACAGTCTAGCCACAGGAGCACAGGGTAAGCTTCACATCATCTACAGATTTTCCTTTCTCTCTCTTTCTCTGGCATCAAATTGCCTGTCAACGTATTGCTACCCTACAAATTTCATAGAATTTTTGTAGGCGAGGTACACTCAGAAACAGCTTTCAAACTTCTTCTTTCAAAATACATAATACATCTCGTTGTATTCCTCAACAGTCTCTCCTTCAAGCACTGACTCTTTCTTAGCTTCCAAGATAAGACAGGATCTGCCTCCTTTAGAGTATTTGTCCTCAAGCACCTGATGGCTGTCCCATCCCTACCCAGCTGTCATCTCATTCTGCCTAATTGTGGGACAGAACCTGCTGGACAGTCTCCCATTCTTGGAATTATTCCTAATTGTCTTCCTTGAAAAGTCCAAAGTGGCTGATCATAGACATTTCAAAAAAGCAGCGCAGTCTCTTCATTTTGCAGCCACCAGCCCTTGCTGAATTAACTTCCTTGGTCTGCTGCTCTCTCCCCATGAAGCAAGTTTTCCCCTCTGCTAAATATAGTTCACTTGGCTGGAGCATGTGCGAGCCTTGTTTCCTAGACACGGCCTCCTTTGGCTGGGCTCCCAGCTTCACAGTTACACACATCTCTGCCCATCCCACCATGACTTGAAGACTGCCAAAACCTTTTCCACTGTTTTCATGAACCAGATAACTGGTCCAAGCTCTTTCTTTTTCACACATCACTTGGGAATCTCAGGCAGCTGCTGGAAGAGAAATGAGCTTTCTTCCTTTTAGACTGGGGGCAGCTCGAGAATCTATGTGTGTGGCAAAAAGTGAGATAAACACCCTCCACATGCAAATGACAGCCTATGCACAGGCTTACTTTATTAAAATATTTCTGCGTGCATTCACTGAAAACACAAGACAGGAGGATCTATATTTATTGGAATCCTTGTATAGGCTGAATCCAGCACACGAGGAAAAAAAATCTCTCTCCTCAGCATGACCTGAGTTCTGGACCACAGACGACATGGTGAGGTTTGGGAATGACCAAATTCAACAATAGGCACAGTTGTCAAACATTTTACACTGCTTTCCAATGTATGTCCATACCTATTGCCACTGAGACTGCATACCATAAAGGCACCAGATCCTGTCTGATCTTGGAAGCTAAGCAAGGTCAACCAACAAATACCAGATGTTGTAGTCTAGACTTCAGAGGGAGGAGCAGGCAAAACCATATCTGAATATTCCTCCTCCACAAAAACCCTATGAAATCCATGGGGTTGCCATCGATATATAAGAAGATATATGCAATGATGGAACGAGGGACTACAGATTAGAATGAAATTATAAGCAAACCAAAAGCAAAAGCAAAACACGACATATAAACAATGGGATTTTACAAATCAGCTTAAAATTGTGGCAAAAAAGAGGAAAAATGGGGGGGGGGGGGGAAGGAAATAGTCCTCTGTAAAAAAAATGGTCAGAAAAACATTATCTTTGTACCTCTTCAGGTACAATGAGGGATGTTGATTCAAATGAATAGCTTACCATAACATATCATACCACATCACTGCTTTCATTCTAGTTTGTTTCTGACTGTTGTCCTTTTGTGGTCTTTGACTTCTGAATATTTTGCTTTATTAATCGTTGTTATGTATCTTTAATTCCATTCCAACTTATGATGATCCTCTCATAGGGATTTTTTTTAAATAAGGGCTTTTAGCCACAGGTTTGTCATTGCCTTCCTCTGAGGCTTAGAGAATGTCACTTGCCCATGCCCACCACAGTCCTCCAGTGGGTTTCCATGGCTGAGTTCAGGTTTTCTGGTTTCCTGGAGTACTAAGGTAAAGATAAAGGTTTCTCCTTGACATTAGTCGTGTCCAACTCTGGGGGGTGGTGCTCATCTCCATTTCCAAGCTGAAGACCTGGTGTTGTCCGTAGACACCTCCTAGGTCATGTGGCCTGCATGGCTGCATGGAGCACCATTAACTTCCTGCTGGAGTGATACCTATTGATCTACTCACATTTGCTAGGTTGGCAGAAGCTAGGGCTGATAGCGGGAGCTCACCCGCTTCCCGGATTCGAAATGCCAACCTTTTGGTCTGCAAGTTCAGCAGCTCAGTGGTTTAACCCACTGCACCACCAGGGGGCCTCTGCAGTACTAGTAGAACAATTAAGAATACTACAGCACATTGGCTCTTCTTCTATGAATATATTCCTTGGAAGTAGAAAGCTAGTTACAGAAAGGACTAGACCAGTGGTTCCCAACCTGTGGCCCTCCAGGTGTTTTGGACTTCAGATCCCACAATTACTAACAGCTGGTAAGCTGGTTGGGATTTCTGGGAGTTGAAGTCCAAAACAACAGGAGAACCCAAGGTTGGGAACCACTGGACTAGATTGAGCTAGATCATTGTTTTGCTTGTTTTTTAAAATTAATTTCTTCCCTCCAGCTCTGCTAGTTTTCTTGAAGCCTGACGTAATCCATCTCTCTTTTACAGCTTATAGCCATTAATACAGCAATTATAGACCAGGCTACATATATACTGCTCTTGTAGATTTATATTTGGTATGTCACACTTCACAGTGCAAGAAGTGCTATATCATAATGCAGAGCTTTCTTGGTTGATTTATAATAGTTGGATTAATTCTCAATGTTTGAATGTTGTATTGGTGTGGTAGGCAAGCCTTCCTCCTAACTAGGGAAAATGTGTGCACCATTTCATCTTTGGGCATTCACTGATAACCAGCCTAAGGCTGAGCAAAATATGCACCATTGCAAGCTGTGGATAGAAGTTGATTTGACAGGCAGCTGAATCTTCTTTAGGGCTCGCAAAGGGATAGGAACTTCCAACGTACCTGAAGAATTATGGTGTATGTGTACAAGACAGGCTGTGTCCTATTTAAGAGAGCTAATAGCCCAAGGTATTCAGGAGTAAGAGTTTACTCAGAAGTAAGTGT